TCAGTTCATCTGCAAATTTGACACCATCAGCTCAGGATTAAACAAAGACTGTGAATGGCTAGCCAACTACAAAAGCAGTTTCTCCTCCCTTGGTGTTCACACCTCAACTGCTAGAAGAGGGCCTCATCCTCCCTGATTGAACTAACCTCGTTATCTCTAGCCAGGGCCGGCTCCAGGCACCAGCCCACCAAGCTGGTGCTTAGGGCGGCACCTGGAGGGGGGCGGCGCGGCGCTCCGGCCCGAGAGCGGGGCCGCGACTGGGCTCGCTGCCCTCCCCGGCGGGGCTCGCCGCCCTCCCCCCGGCGCAGCCTCTGGCCACCGGGGACAGCGGAGCCCCGGCGGGGCTCGCCGCCGGGGACAGCAGAGCCCCGGCGGGGCTTGCCGCCCTCCCCCCGGCGCAGCCTCTGGCCGCCGGGGAAAGCGGAGCCCCGGCGGGGCTCGCCGCCCTCCCCTGCCGCGTGGGGGAGGGGGGCAGGGCGGCGGGAGGCTTTTTTGCCTGGGGCGGCAAAAAAGCCAGAGCCGGCCCTGTCTCTAGCCTTACTCACTCTTGCTTGCATATTTATACCTGCCCCTGGAAATTTCCACTACATGCATCCGAAGATGTGGGTATTCACCCACGAAAGCTCATGCTCCTATATGTCTGTTAGTCTATAAGGTGCCACAGGACTCTTTGCTGCATCCTTTGCTCCGTATCTCAAAACATGAAGTTCAAAGAATGCCGAATATAAGATTATACCTGCAATTCCTGCCACTTTATTTTACTCTGCACCACAACACTTCCCCATCCCCATAAAGGTATAAGATTGAGGAATTAAATAAAATACTAAAGATTTTAAAAGGTAGATGGAAGAACAGTTTAAGCAGTGAATGGACCTTGTTCTGCAAGGTGGTTAGTGCTTCCTGTTGTAGTAGGAAGAGGGCCTGAAATATAAGCCCTCGTATCAAAGGCCTGAGCTAAAGTAATGGTTAAAACTTGCTAATATAAAGCAAAGTTAAGCTGTGAGCAAGAGGCAGCCCCTGCTCACAGAATCTGGCAAGAACATGGCTGATATTGCAAAAACACACATTCCTAAGTAGTGCTAGGCATAAAAATATATAAGCAAACATTCCAGAAAGATGGTACCAAATAGGGTTGCCAACTTTCTACTCACACAAAACCGAACACCCTTGCCCCACCCCTCCTCTGAGGTCCTGTCCCCTGCTTATTCCATTCTCCCCCCCCCATCGCTCGCTCTCCCCACCCTCACTCACTCATTTTCACTGGACTGGCTCAGGAGGTTGGGTTGCAGGAGGGGGTGAGGGCTCTGGCTGAGGGTGCGGGCTCTAGGGTGGGGTTGGGGATGAGGGCTTTAGGGTGTAGGAGGGTGCTCCAGGCTGGGACTGAGGTTCAGAGGGGGGGGGATCAGGGCTGGGGAAGGTGCGGGAGGGGTCAGGGGTGCAGGCTCCGGGTGGTGCTTATCTCAAGCAGCTCCCGGAAACAGCGGCATGTCCTCCCTCCGGCTCCTACGCGGAGGCATGGCTAGGTGGCTCTGCGTGCTGCCCCGTCCGCAGGCACTGCCCCCACAGCTCCCATTGGCTGCAGTTCCCGGCAGGTACAGCGTGTGGAGCCCCCTGGCTGCCCCTAAACGTAGGAGCCAGAGGGGGGACATGCCGCTGCTTCCAGAAGCTAAGCGGAGCCACGGCAGGCAGGGAACCTGCCTTAGCCCCACTGTGCCATCGACTGGACTTTTAACGGCCCGGTGAGCGGTGCTGACCGAAGCCACCAAGGTCCCTTTTCGACCAGGCGTTCCAGTCGAAAACTGTACACCTGGCAACCCTAGTACCAGAACACCTCGATACCAAACACATTCCCCAAAGATAACAGGAACACACTGGCCCATCCTAAAGATAAGGTCAGGATGACAGCATGATGGATAGAGATGTTTTGATCTAAGCAACATGTATACGGTAATGGGTGGCACCCAAATCCGTCAGGGGTAATACATAACTTATTTGTATCTGTGTATAAAAATTTATCTCAGAGGAAGTGTCTTTGGCTGGCCTAGGGGATAATGGAAAGTCCCGCCATTAACTCAGCTAGTCCATTGCAACAGGCATACATGTGTTAGTGTACCTGTAACCATTGATCCAGGACATTAGGACCGTGCTTCATTAACAATAAACCTGACCAAGTGCCTTCGCTACGACCTGAGTCTGTGGATCTATTGGGCAGTTTAAATTGGAGCCTTCTATACGGGCTATCTGGCCAGGGTCAGTACAGCACGCAGAAAGAACACACACACGCAGCCAAACATCTGACCACACCTGTAAGATGCAGCTCACCAGATTCATAAATGATCTGGAAAAAAGGGTGAACAGTGAGGTGGCTAAATTTCAGATGATACAAAATTACTCAAGATAGTTAAGTCCAAAGCAGACTGCAAAGAGTTACAAAGGGAATCTCACTAAACTGGGTGACTGGACATCAAAATGGCCGATGAACTATAAGTTGGTAAGTGCAAAATAATGCACATTGGAAAGCATAATCCCAACTATACATACAAAATTACAGGGTTTAAATAAGCTGTTACTACTCAGGAAAGAGCTTGGAATCATCGTGGATAGTTCTCTGAAATCATCCACTCAATGTGAAGCAGCAGTCAAAAAAGCTAACAGAGTGTTAGGAACAATTAGGAAAGGAATAGACAATAAAACAGAAAATATCATAATGCTACTATATATATATATCCAGCGTATGCCCACACCTTGAATACTGCATGCAGTTCTGGTCACCCCATCTCAAAAAAAGATATATTAGAATTGGAAAAGGTACAGAGAAGAGCAACAAAAATGATTAGAGATATGCAAGGAGCGCTTAAAAGACTGGGACTGTCCATCTGAGAAAAAGAAACAACTAAGGGGGGGATATGACAAAGGTCTATAAAATTATGAATAGTGTGGAGAAAGTGAATAAGGAAGTGTTATTTACCCCTTCATATAACACAAGAACCAGGAGTCACCCAATGAAATTAATGGGCAGCAGGTTTAAAACAAAACAAAAAAAGGAAGAATTTCTTCACCCAATGCAGTCAACCTGAGGAACTCATTGCCATGGGATACAGCGAAGGCCAAAATTATAACTAGCTTCAAAAAAGCATTAGGTAAGTTCATGGAGAATAAAACTGTCAATGGTTATTAGCCAAGATGATCAGGGACACAACCCCATGCTCCAGGTGTCCTTAAACCTCCAACTGCCAGAAGCTGGGAGTGGATGACAGGGGATGGATCATTTGAAATTGCCCTGTTCTATTCATTCCCTCTGATGCATCTGGCACTGGCCACTGTCAGAAGACAGGATACAGGGCTAGACGGATCACTGCTCTGACCCAGTATGGACATTATGTATGGAGAGAAGAGAGAGAAAACTCTCGGCTCATATGATAGGCTGGCAGTGCTATTCTGCATAGATCCCGCTGGGAAATGCCAAGGGATGCCTTTGATTCACTATTGCAAACAGATTATGAACTCTGTACCTAATATAAGGGAGCAGTTGCCTAGAAATAGGGTCTAAATTGCAGAGTAATCAAAAAAGAACACTAGGAGTAGTCAAGCTGTTGGTGGGCTTAGGATGGAATTTGTGCTACGCTGTTGTTAGTTTCTTTGTCAATAAAAATCCAACTGTATGATGGGGATGAACTTTGACCCTATGAAAACTATGTAATCTTTGATTTGGAGGAGGCTGAGAAAGCCACCTGCTCACAAATGTATCTGCAATATATCAGTATTGTCAGATTTGAATTTACATGCAAATAAGATCTTTCTGTTGGATTGCAACTGTCTGCACTGTGTTCCTTTTAAATATAAGCATAATATAGCATTTTCCTTTCAAAGGTAGGTAGCATCTAGAGACAGAGTGGTTATCTATTTTATACTCTACAGGTTTGTAAAACCCATTTTGCTAATAACAAAATGTACATTGGTGATTGAACAAGGTTTGGTAAGAAAGCCGTTGCAAAAATAAATGTAGGAGACAAAATTAGATACATGTTAGAGGAAGACTTGAAACCTTACCTTTCTTTCTGTAATATCATAAACTTTGTTTGTTTTTGTTGAAACTCTGTACTTCTGTTTTGGCACCTAAAAAGGAACACACTTACCAATGAGACCAGGATAATAACTTCAGATCAATCTTTTGTTTTAAACCAACTGTTTAAACTGTTGTATGGAGAGCTGCAGGAGGCCTCTGTGCTAGCTGTGAGTCCCCCACTCTAACTCCACATTGGTGAGGCTCCTATGAAGCTGTCCTACAAGTCATGGCCTCTGACTACCACAGAGATGGCTCCACGGAGCAGATAAAATAGTAGCCCAGGTAAATCTCTGTGGAGCCAGAGGAAGGACCATGTGAGAGATTTCCTCCCTTCTAACACATAAACCCGACCCAGTAGAGAGCTCTTTGCCGAGTGTTAGGAAGGGAGACAATAGTGCTAAAGGTGTTTGACACTACCCATCATGTGCAACCACACACAGAGCATCCTCCACTCTGTATGAAGGTATTGGATGACACAATCTGGTCATCTGTCATCAGTATTTAATTGAAGTATTTCAAACATGTAACAGAAATTGCATCCCCCAAAACCCCCACAAAATAGACTTTCTTATACGTTATAAAGCATGAGTTGGAGCTAATGATTAGATGCAGTGTCCAAATCTATGAAATTAGCAATATCTTTAACATTTGATCTAGAAAATCTTATGCTAAATAGCACTTTTATCCCATGGAAATAAGAGTCTTAGAAACATGTAAGACATAGATCTTTCACTTTAGTTTAAGGAGAACACAGATTATTTTTTCTTTTCCTGACTATATTTGCCATACTGGAATTACTAAATTGATACTATTGTCATAAGACTTCAATTGTACAACAGAGGCTAGTCCTATTTTGTATTATGATATGACATTAATAGAGAGATTAAACTCCAGAAACAAGTAGATCTAGATGTCAGAGTATGAATACCAGTACCATGGAAATTTACTTACTTAAAGTGTCAAATTTAGGGATTGAGAGCATTAATGTTACTTTTTAAATCTAGGAAGTGTTATTTCCTACTTGTAATAGAAAAGCATTAAACAGATTTAACTAGTTACCTACTATACTGCAGCTAGCATTACAACACAGTTTATGTAACTGTACTTCACACTCTGAAGTCTCATTTATGCTTCCTGAGGGCCTATGCAGATAGATCTATACCTCTGCGATCACTCCGAGTCCCCCAAAATAACACCACAGTAGTGAGGCTCCTATGAAGCCATCCCATCCAGACAAGTGACAAAGAGTTCTAAAATGTATCCATGGGGAAATATTGTCTTTAAACATTATAAGCCTCTTTTCCCATGGAGATATGTGCTTTCACTGAAAAGAAAACTCTAGGATGGGAAATAAACTTTTCCTGTTGCACAGCTGGAGTCATGAATCCATACTGTTTAATCCATATTATTCTTTGTCAGTTTACAAAGATGACAAAGGATTCAGTCATGCAGTAGTGATAGCCAAATAAGCAAATTCAATCTTTCCCCTTAATTAAGAGAGATTTTAGGGGGGAGCAACAGGACCTTCACCTGGGAGTAACACAGAATGTTTCCTGCTCAGATGATTAGAATGACAAAGAGAGAATGGATAAAATAAAGAAAGGCTCAAGAGCTCTTAACATCAAAATATTAATTAAAAAGGAACTTACATTTTCTAGCCCATTTCGACATAAGGGATAGCCACAGAGTTTGATGATAAAACGCTCCTCCACAGCATCCTTATAGTGAGATGGGGTAATAAAACTTCCCTAAAATCATTAGAAAATAGTTCAACAGACTTACTTTAAAAGCATTCACTCTCAAAACTCAGAAGTACATGAATGCTTAAGTTTGTTCATAAAAAAAATTAGTAAAACCACTACTATTTAAAAAGCAGAAGTTAAAAGATTAAGAATGGTAATGGGGTAAGCACACATAGTAAGAGATGAGAGCAAGTGTATAGACAGTACTATTATCAACATCTTATATTTTTACTTAGATAACTTTGTGATAAAGTTATTTCCGCAGTTTCCCTCTCTGTCAGTAAATGGCTAATATTTCCACTGTGTATATAGCTTAATTGACACTTTTTACATGGTACACATTATAAATCTAGTGACACTTTTCATGCTTTTACATTTATATTATTGTTTAAGTGATGAATACTGAGTAAAATAACTGTGCTTATGGCCTTGGGCACAATTTGAAGAAAAGGTACACCCAAAATATGGATGTTTTTGGTAAGTCTGTCCAGCTAAATATTTTTCAAGAGTACCCAAGCCATGGTACATACCTTGCCAAAAATGTTCAGCACCAAGTAGAAGAGAACTTGTTTTACAGAAGCTGAACTCAGATTCAACTGCAAAAATGTTTGCCCAGATCATATACATATAACATATACATGAGATAAAATATAATAGAGCATTTGTCGGGTATCTTCACAAGAGTGTTTCAGTTTAACACTTTCATGCTAATGCCTGCAACATAATATATTCCCCATGGACCAGATTCTACATCCCTTACATCATGCTGAATAATACTATCTGTGACCTGGATCATATCAGATCATATATTTTATCATATCATATATATATATGGATTCAGAGCAGGCCCTCTGCACATGGCTCTCTCTCCTACTGTGTGCAGAGGAAGCTCAGCCACATATTAAGTTCTGCAGGGCCAACTGGGAGTAGCCAGAAAAGATATACAACCTGGAGCTGTATTATCTTTTCTGCAGAGCCTCACCTGGGGAAACCACAACACGGGTAGTCCTTGAATTGCTCTAGTGAAGCTGTGGTGCCAGGGAAGTCATATGGGGCAAAGGGTGGTATCATGGGGCCTTTCTCTAAAGCCCCTTCCCACAGAGGAGATGATCTGATCCTAACTTTTTACACCACACTCATCAATCTGGAATCCATGAGCCACTAAAGGCAGTGGAACTACTCACCTAAGTAAGCAATACTCATCATGAGTAAGGCTGGCAAAACCAGGCCTTTAAAAATAAGACATATTTTCACAGTGGAAATATTAAAAGCAAGAACAGAGGAGGGTACATTAGCACTGAAAGAGAAACTGGATGATTGAATGGTTATTACCCTAACAAATTTGCTACAAGAATTAAAAAGAACTTTAAGAACATAAGAACGGCAATACTGGGTCAGACCAAAGGTCCATCTAGCTCAGCATCCTGTCTTTCGACAGTGGCCAATACCAGGTGCTTCAGAAGGAACGAACAGAACACGTAACCATCAAGTGATCCACCCTGTCGCCCATTCCCAGTTTCTGGCAAAGAGAGACTAGAGACTCAAATTAGTATAAGAACTTGCAAAAGAAACACGTACACAATTCACGAGGAACTCTTCTGTAATATCTTCCTCCAATAGCTGTTCAACAACACGCAGAGCTTTTTTCTCATATTCAAACTTCTTTCTAATAGCAGCCTCAAGTGCTGCCCTCCTACAATAGAGTAAATATTGAATTACATAGACGGCACTTTACCATACACAATTCTCTCAAACATATCTTTTGTCTCTCTCCTATACAAAGTGTAGCATTTTAATGCTCTGGTATGCATTTTGCTACTATGACCTCACACAGCAATGTATTCCACTTAGACTAGAATTTTGTGGCAACCAGGAACCATTAAGTGAGTTTTCCAAACTTGGTTTGGCATTCCGCCCCCCAAGTTCTTGGAGAAGTATCCAGGCCTTCTCCCACAGGCAGTCTGAACAATCTTTATTGGAGAAAACAGTTCATTTGGGAAGTAAATACATCATTGCAACAGGATTAATATGTAACTCTGAACCAGTGCCCAAGTAAAAGGCAAAAGATTTAGTAAATGAAGCACAACATCCAGAAGTCAGGACTGTAAGAAAAGCAGCATGTAAATGTTTTCCCACACGTACTCTGGTTAGTGGGTGACATTTTTCTTTTAATAGCAAAAACCTTCATGCCCTTAGGTGGAACAGCTGGCTGGACAAGAAGATTGGGACTGGGATGAAGAGCCTAGGAAGGTAATGAAAAGAACTCAGACAGAGACAGGTTGGAAGGAACAGGGGCAGAAGGATACATGCCCACCACAGCATACCCCCCTCTAGAGACTGGAATGGAACCCAAGATTCCCAAGTCTCACCATTCCTCTGCTGTCAGCAAATATCTGTGAAGCTCAATGGCACAGCATGCATCTCATCCCCCTCTAGTGTCTGAACCATGTTGAGGATGACAACATACTGCTCCTACCAATTATTCCATTAGCTCAAGAGGCAGAAGTCTGTGCTATACATCTAAAGATTACAACCAGCCATGGCAGAGTTCTGTTTTGTTTTTAATAGTTTCAATGGATAATATGAATGTGTATTTTTAAGCATCTTTTTCTCGATTTTTACAGATTTAAATTTTCACAGTTGCACAAAATGATGAGTTTTAACATTTTTTTCTATTTTTATCTATTTCAATGTTCACAAGTGTGGGAAATTATGGAGATCAGACAAGAGGGGGAGTAAGACAATAATTATTTAATGACAGCAGATACTGAGATTCAAAAAGTTAAAAACTTTATAACCATTAAAACACAGACAGTATATTTTGACATGTGATGTTGACAAAGTGAATATCCTTAAAGCAAACTCAAATAAGCTCTCAAGCACCATTTTTCTTACTTTGCCTATCCGTAAATTTCAGTCATAATCAATTGAAATAATGTTTTTGCTGGTTTGCATGTGTATGGTGAAATCAATGTTTACCAACAAAAATTCAAGTCGAGTTATAACCTTGCTGCTGGAAGTTCCACATGATGGAACTTGTTTTTTTCAGTTTGCTTTCTTTAAAAAACCTAGGAAACACATAAAAAACTAAATTAAAAGAATGTTAAGATTGAAAAGTCAAGCTCTCAAAAGTTAAGAAATGCGAGAACTGAGGTTACCTGTACAAAACCTAATCATGTGTTCCTCACTTTCTGGGTGACTAACTTGAGACCCGGGGGTCTGATCTGCATAAGCACTGAGCAGTCACAGCTACAACTGAAGTCAATGTAAGCTGTGCTTTGAACATATATGGTACTATATAATGCTAAGTACTCTAAAAATGCCCTGGGAATCTCAAAATGGGCAACTCAAAATTCATGGATACTTTCGTCCTTAATACCTCTGTGCCTCATTTTCCCATCTGCAAAATGGAGATGATAATACCTCCTCTGAGCTGAAGGGTGTTGTGAAAATAAATTGTTCGTGAAACATTCAGAGACTTCAGTGATGAGCACCACATAAAAGCCCATGAGGAAGTAAGAATTCTGTAATCAGAGCAAGATTTGAATAGCGTGCAGTAAATAATGCCTGAGACCACACACCAAACAATGAGGAGAAAACAAATTATTTAATGGGGTTTCTCATTACGTGAGCACTGTCCAGTCTGTGCACTGAATAGGCAGGGGTCCTGTGGAAAAAAATAGCAAGTATTTGTGCAATTAAAGACTGTAATCATACACACAAAGAGGTCAAATTAAGATTGCAGACAGCTCTAATACTGGCATTTCCTAACTTCTGAATGCTTGACTATGCAACATTTGGCACTCTTAAGTTTGTGAATGTAATTAATTGTTACCTTAGGATAAGGTAGGCATATGATAACTCAAGACAAATCTGCGGGGTTGCTTAAAGCATCTTACAGTGCTGAATAGCAGACAAACTTACCTATTATTCTAATAATATTTAGCATCTCCTATATATAGTTATTGAAGTTTCTGAAAAAGCACAAAGACATTCTATAAAGAAGAGAGAACTCTAAAGTAAAGTAAACAATTGCTATTACTGTATAACATTAGTTAGATATCATACCTTTGTGCTACATCTTCATTTTTCAAAATACTTGATTGTTTATTTCCTAGTAATAAAATAATATATAAATCAATGTACCTTTTAACTTTCAAAATAACAAAACATCCATTTGTGGCTCATATGTTTCCATACATAAATGGCCTCAAGGAAGACATATTTGCACACAAGCCAAACCATAAGCAACTGTTTGGAAACCTGTGCTTCTGGGGGCGTCTAAATGGATAGCTGCAGCAGTTTTTAACTAAATACTCAGCAGCAAGACCAAATAATAAGTTGGCACAGTATCTACTGGTGAACTACAGGGCAGGGAGGAATAAATCATTTTAGTCCTGTACATTGTCCAAAAAAAACAAGTTAAGGGGACACTATCAACTGGGAATGGTGGTGTCACATTTCTGCCTGAAGATTTTGTGCCAACTGTATTTCCTAGGGATTCTTCCGTAACATTTCCCACCATTGTAATTCCAGTGGTGATAGCAACTGTGGAAATGCTAATGTAGACAAGGCACTGGCTGCCACTGTTTTTTCTGCCCCCTGATGTTGGCTGAATCTGCTCTGAACAGGTGAAATAATATGACCCCCGATTCTGCAACAAGCGCCACATGCACAGACACCTACACCTATGTGGAACACTGCTGACTTTAACAGGAGTTTGACCTACACTAGCTTCTCTTCCCTAACCCATTGCTAGCACAAGTGGCAGAAGGTGTAGGAAATTTCAGATAAATTCTTAGTGTAGATGCAACCTAAGTTTCCTGTAACTAAAAAAAGTTTTAGAACCAAGCCCCCCAAAAGACCCAACCCTCCTCCAATATCTTTCTGCCTCCCCAGCTTGTCTTCTTTGTGCAGCTGACAGCACTTGACACAAAGCAATTTCACTGTTTCCCTTGTAGTCAGTCACTCCCTTTTGAAAAGAAACTTCTATACAGAAAGAGGAGCAGAAAAGAATTATGTAAAAAAGGGGAGATTTTTGTTTTTGTTTTTTTAACACTTAACACTTTTTCAAAACATGCCATTTAAATGGTACTTGATCAGAAAATAGGCTTGTTTTATTTGTTTAGTTTCAAACAACTTAGGTTGACACCATCCTTAATGGTGCTGCACAATGGGGTCCTCACATGGAAGCAAGTAAAAGTAAAAGCTGCAGCCAACAAGCCACATCCCTAAAGGAGCAACACATGTGGCTCTCGTGGATGCTGGTGCATGTGGCTTAATGCCAAGTGCCTTACATCAACATTGTCCAACATCCCCTCTTCCCTGGGATGCAGACTAAGCTAAGTCCCCTTTTGCTAAGCTTCGCCAACAACGAGACATGGAAATTTCCACCATGGCCCACGATTAGTGCCCTACCAAATTCATGGTCCATTATGGTCAATTTTATGGTCATAGAATTTTTTAAAATGGAAATTTCATGATTTCAAATGTTTAAATCTGAAATGTCACAGTGTTATAACTGTACGGGGCCTGACTCAAAAGGGGATTGTTGGGGGTTGCAAGGTTATTGCAGGGCGGTCGTGGTATTGCCACCCTTACTTCTGCGCTGCTGGCGGCAGCACTGCCTTCAGAATTGGGCTGCTGGCCAGGAGCCCAGCTCTGAAGACAGTGCTGCCACCAGCAGCAGTGCAGAAGCAAGGATGGCATGGTATGGCACTGCCAGTCTTACTTCAGCGCTGCTGCCTGCAGAGCTGGGCCCTGGGTCAGCAGCTGCCGCTCTCTGGCTGCCCAGCTCTGAAGGCAGTGCAGAGGTAAGGGTGGCAAATACCGCAACCCCCAGTTTGAGAAAGGCTGGTCTCCCCTGTGAAATCTGTATAGTATAGGGTAAAAGCACACACAAGACCAGATTTCACAGTCCATGACACGTGTTTCACAGATGTGAATTTGGTAGTGCCCTACCCATGATATAGTTACAGGATAATACCGTGGCCAGGGCACACCACACCACCAGGCCAGGGGTGGGGATAGCCATACCTCAGGGCTGGGGCCAGGGCCAGCCACAGAGTCCCCCCAGTGCTGGTGCTAGTACTCTGGGAGCCCTAAACTGGAATATTTTTGCCCCCCTCAACACTAATAATGCCCCCCTAATAATGGGGGGCCCTTGAGCTGCTTGAGGCCCTAAGCAATTGCTTAATCTGTTTATGCCAACCACTAACACCCCCCCTCCCCCCCGCGAGGACGGATTGGGTCAGTCCCCTGCGCTGAGCCGGGGAGGGGGTGGGGAGGACGAGGCCACGAGGCCGGGAAGCGGGGGGGGCTGTGTGGTACTAATCCTACCTGCGCGTCTCCGGCTGGATCTCGCCTTCACACCGACCCGCAGCTGCTCCGCCGCCGCCATCATCATCGCCCTCCCCGCCTGACCTCTCACCCGCCGCGGCGCCGGGGGAGGCGGAGCCTGAGACTGGGCACACGGGGCTCGATCCGGGGCGGCCCCTGCGGACGCACGTTAGGTAGGAGGCAGGCGCCGCGCAGTCCTTGCCGCGCCGCCGGGGGTGGGGTGGGGAGAAGGACGCGTCACGCTGCCGGGGGGAGCGGCTGCTGCCGCGGGGTTTAGCCCCCTGGCGGAGGGGCCCTTATTCCTCTCCCGGCACGTTCTCTTCATGGCGGGTACCGGGGCCGAGCCGAGCCTCACTGGGGCAGCTCCCCAGACATGTCCCCTAGAGCCGGTTCAGAGGGGCGGCTGAGGAGACCCCCCCTAACGACCCGCCCGCCTCCGTTGTTGGAGGACTGGAGCTCGCAGGCCCGTTTACAGCCTCCGCTGTGAGCGACCCACACGGTCTCCCTCCCTCTTTCTCTTCCTTCAGTGCGATGCCCCCGCAGCAGTGGCCCCTGGCGGGGACGGCGATCTGCTTATTGATTTGCTTTAAGAGACACCAGTTTTATTTAGGCCGAGGGGTATTGAGCAGTGTCTGATGTGACTCAATGCATGGGTTATAATCCCACCTACTGTGCTGAACCTTGTCTAAGAAGATCCCATACAGCCCATCCTCCCCAGACCCAAAGTGTGGCTAGTGGCGATGCGGATGCTTCAGTGTCCCAAAGTGTATGGAGGTTGCCGGGTGCTTTAATCCTTTTTAGGCACTTACAGCTGTGTGGAATAAATTCCCTCACTGAGTCGCATTTTTCATTGGTGTTCGGATCCTTTAAGTAACCCCCAAACTCCAGTGAAATTTCTTGTGTTTGGAGTTATCCATTTGGAGACTGGGGGGAAAAGTTAAATAACTCAAATAGCTTTCAATTTAAAGTTCAGAACAGAGCCTATACTAGAAATACAGGGGATGTGCGGGGGGGTGAAGGCCAAAACCATAACTAGATTTAAAAAAGAATGAAATAAATTCATGGAGGACAGGTCCATCAATGGCTGTTAACCAAGATGGTCAGGGATACAATCCCATGCTCTGGGTGTGTCTAGTCTCTGACTGCTGTGGGAGTGGATGACAGGGAATGAATAATTGCCCTGTTCTGCTCATTTCTTCTTAAGCACCTGGCATTGGTCACTGTTGGAAGACAGGATACTGGGTTAGATGGACCATTGATCTGACCCAGTATGACTGTTCTTATGGAGAGCATGTGTGTCAAGTCTGAAATCAAAATGGGTGAAAAATAAAATGTTATAAATGAGTGAAGGGAGTTTGTCAAGTATAGCTAATATGTAATTTTTCATAATGACTTAGGGACCTGTCCAGCTTTCACTGAAGTCAGGGAAAAGAATAAGATATCACTGACAACTGGATTAATCACTTAGGCCCCAATCCTGCAATGAGCCCTGAGTCAGTACACCACTACAGCAGCACAGAGCTCAGTGCATGATTTGGGCCTTATTGATGTTGTCAAGTTACTTTGGGCCCCAAATAGAGACTATACATTTGTTTTAAAACAAATTAAAATAGTTCTGGGGGAATGTCACCATTGCTCTTGCAGTGTTGTGAACCCAAACACAACAGCACGTGCTAGTGCAATGCAGGGATTGGCCTGGAATGAAAGATTAAGCTTTAATTAACGATTGTGGTGTGATGAGACCTCCAGGAATACGTCCAACCAAAATTGGCAACCCTAACGCTGAAACAGTTTTTATAGGGGGGGTGCTAAGAGCCATTGAACCAAACTAAACTCTATATAAGGGAAACTGCTTCAAGACGGGGGGTGTGGCAGCACTCCCAGTTCCAGCACTTATGGGGCAATGAGAACTGCAAAGTAAAACTGACAAGTCTAGGTTCAGTGTTGGAACACAGTGAAATAAAATGCGATAGACTAATTTACTTTTCACTATATTGATAGCGTACTTACATTTATTCTTGTAGTAATCTAAATCCAAGTTTGGATGCTTTTAGTACAATTCGACTTAATGCTGTTCATTTTATGGACCAAATTAACGTATGGTAGTTATTTAAATATATCATGTGAGATAGGTGAGGCCAAGATTTGAAATGGAATGCATGAGGACAGTATATAAAAATGTGTGTACAATTGTGCACCTGTGTATGTTGCATAAATATCAAGATTACATGTTTCAGATAGGTATTTAGGCACTGAACTCGCAATTTGCATGCAAAATCACTGGATGTGTGTACAGACACAGTGCTTGCATGCCCAAATGTAGGCATAACAAATCCTCAGGCTTTTTTTTTACTATTAAATAAAAATGAGATTTACAAGTGTCCAGTAGGCATTAGGCGGTGATCCTGATTATGTAGAGATTTAAGCATGTGCTTAATTTTATGCATGTGAGTAGTCTTATTGCCTTCAATGGGAACGATTTGAGACCGTCTCCCTCTACAGGTGAAAGGCTAGCATAGTGTCTAGCCCATTGTGTCGGTCAGGCTCTCTTAAAATTCATTAGTAGGTTTAAAGATACCAACACCTAAATGACAAGATATACTTCTGGATTAAATTTAGCAGTGACGGAGCTTTGATTTAATAAAAATGTCTAGACAGTAAAAAGAAACAAACAATATCCTACATTCCAATCATAGAGCAAATAAACTATATATACTATATATGATGATTACTTTCTTCAACAGCAAATCATTTATCCCCAATTGCAACATTGAAGTTTTAGGGTGCCACAACTGCCTCGCAAAATCTTATGCCTCAAAAACTGATTCTATAGCTATGATATTCTGAATCTGTAACCTATACAACCTATTGATTGTGTCACATCACATCTATTTCATTTTTGTTCCACAAAGACAGTAAAGGAATTTTGATCCTTATGCAATGGACTTTCTGTTAATAGTTGGACAATTCCTCTCTCTAGGTACAGTATGCATGCTCTTTCTCGTCTCCTATAAATAAGCAATAGCAGTGGCTGCATGCACAGGAGGTGGTGGAATGAAAGAACACCCTGCATTTCTGAACTTTTTTCTCTTTTCCCTCGTGTTCTTTCATTCAGCCTCCTTAACTTCTCCCAACAATGACTAATCTTTCTCATTTCTCCATCTGTTAGCTGTTTTACCAGTCGGGACTTGCTAAAATGTGATCATTTTTAATCTCCATCTTAAATCCAGTATAATATTGAATATAATGTTATAACAATATGTGACTCAGTACTGTACTCTAACTTATGACAGAGCTTTTCAGTGTCATAGGAACAAAGTCAGGATATGATGGCAACTGAGGAACTTCAAGCCATTATACAAAGATGCGTAAGTAACTTCCTTTTTTAAAAAAGATAGTAAAAGTTATAGAAACTGGCATTGCCTACATCTGCTTGTACTATATTTAAATAAAAAAGCAGGGGAGCTTTCGATAGCGCTCTTCATGACCATGCAGGTTTAGTTTCCATTGCCTGCTCCCTGGTTCTTGTCCTAGGACTGCTACTAGCATCTGCCCCTTGCCTCTTGGACGATAGGCAGGAGCATGTAGAAGAAAATGTACCTCTCCAAAAGACTTAGTGTAATCTCAGGTCAGGGAAAGTGTTATTGAGAGACTGGCATGTGTTCTGTAGTAATTACTAATATCTGTTTTACTCCTTGAGGAATTGTGCGCCACTGCGGTGCAGCAGAAAAATGCCACCCCCACCGAGCTGCCCGCACCCAGATTGTGCCACACAGAATGCTGGTACTCTTGAGGGAATTCTGATCCAAAAAATAAAAAATTTTAAAATTCTGCAAAGTTCTGCATATTTTATTTGTCAAAATAACACAGAAACACAATAATAATATAATCACACCATTTTCAATTATTTTGGTAATTTATTTCAAAATATTAGTAAATAATTGAAAATGGTGTGATTATGTGTTATTTTGCAGAATTTTTAACTCTTTTGATGCAGAATTTTTAACTTTTTTGGTGCAGCGTTCCCTAAGGAGTATTCTAGTGTCTAAATGATGTATCATAGGTATAGTAAAAACTAAACTACAGCTATAATAAATTGTATTTAAACTCAAATTTGGGTTTGTTTGTGATTTACATTATATAAATGTAAAGTTAAAGATAAATTTTCATTGTAGCAAATCCTAGAAGAAGAAGATTTCAAAGGAGAAGATTTTAATCTTTTTCAAGTAGCAGGCCAGAAGTGCTTAGAAGAAGGTTATGCAGCAGAAGTATTAGAAGTAATTCAAAATGAGAAAAATAAGGTAAGTTTAAATCTGCATCTGTGTGTATTTTAGTGGTATACATTAAACACATAGGTAAATAGGTTAAATTTTGCATATTCCAGCTGTTTATACATTGCTTTATTCTTAGTATCTTTGTAAGCCTCCTATACCATATAGTACCCACAAGGATGTACAATTTCAGGGCACTGTACCAGGTATACACTGAAAGACATATACAGTTTGTATAGACTCAGATTCTTCTTTCTGTGAAGCTGTTTTGGCAATGGTTACTGGACCTGAAACAAACATAGCCAACCAGAAGAGGTCACCCCAGAGTAGGCGGATCCTTTCATGTCATACAGGCATGCTAGTGGCTCCTACATGTGACCACTCCAGGCTGTCAGTGTAGGAAGCAGGGGCTTCCTTGTACTACAGTAATTCTTGACTCCTAGATCAGCCCCTTAGAGCTGTTGTTAGCTGAAGCATCTTAGAGCAGCCCTCAGGCTGCATTGCCTTATGTTGGGGAGCCAGGTTGCTGCACAACTGGTCCAGGATAGAAAGAGTGGAAGAAGTGGATTAAAGCCAACTTTGTATATTACGTCCTGAGCAGTGTACTATTTAGCTTTAAACAAGGATATGTGGCACAGTGTCCTTAACAAACCCTTTCATTAATGTTTTCCAGTGAGATAAACAGAAAAGAAAAGAGAGATTTTAAGGCAAAATTTAAAAAGGGAAAATGATAGTGACTCTCTGTTGGGTAAAGAGAATTCCAGATGGATGGACTAAAATTGGCCAAGATTTTAAGAAGAAAGTGAGCAGACAGGAAGTAACAGAATGAAAGTTCAGAGAAGTATATGACCAGTTTGGGAAACCAGGAGAGCATACTTATATGGGAT